AAATTCGGTTCCACGGGGAATCGAGCTCACAACCTTTCGCACACTAGACTTGTGTCTAATCCACTCGGCCACCGACATCGGTATGTGATTAGTAAGTTTTTTTTTTTCGAGTTGCATCGTGCTTTCGATTTCGGTAGGTCGCATGCGACTCGTGGTACGCCTTATGGGCCGTATGCGACTTGTTGAAGTCGAACGTACGATTTCAATTCGAGAATAGGCTCCCTGGAATAGCCTCCCAAAGTAGTTGCACTAAGCTGCCAAAGCGCAAGCATGACGGTGCGCGTCGTCTCTGCCGGACTCCCCTACACGGAGAGAAATATTCAATAAAAATTACGTATCTTTTCCGTAATTCCGGAGCGAAATATGGTTGTAGGAACTTTTACGGAACTGTCACCGTTGTTTTCCAGAGCGTTCCGTAATTTTTACTTGAATCTCCTGTGAAAAATTACGATACCGTCACTTAACCCGCCTGAAATGGCGTTCGGTGGCCACCCGAGTCCACTGGCTCGGTGAGCAACGCGCGGCCTGTGTTACGGTTAGCGCGGTGTTTCCACATTGTAGCCCTATACGTGAATAAAAATCTATACTGCACATATTTTTCTCGAATTAAACAGCATTTATGCTCTAAAAAAAAAAAATTCGCGTTTTTTATGAGACGCCAAACACGGCACGTAATAGAAATGTTGACGTTGCTAGTATTTCTGAACTGAAACGAACGACATGGCAACAGCGCGGCTAAAAACCGACTACACGAGTTCACTGGCTCCGGGCGGCGACGGCGAGGCGCCGCTTTTCCGTACCAGTCTCACTAAATTATTATTTTTCATGGTATTCGTGGGGTCTTCAAGGGATAGGAATCTTACCAGTCCATTCTAGAGGGTTTGAACTAAGCATTGTAATTTTTAGAATTTTTTTCATACATAATTTTGCATGCAACAAGAAAAGATCGAGAAAAGGCGGCGCCTTGCTCATTGAGCCAGTTCGGGAGGGTTAAATTTTCGGAGTCGATTCCATAATCGGTGAGCGAATTGTGAGTTCCATAATTTTTGCTGAACATTTCTCTCCGTGTAGGAGAGTCAGTGAGAGTATTGCAAAAAACAGATGTCTGAATTGTTGACATGTTTTGAAACAATTCTCGGACGCCTATACGTGTTGGAATCCATGAACATGTGAATATGTGAATTCACAAACATGGTGATACTAACAATTGGATGACCACAGGTATTCAAATGAATAAAATTCAAAAAAATAAAGAATGAATAATTTTCAATGACGATTTTTCATTTCATCGTGATAATTAGCGAATACAATGTGATTTCAATTCTGACGATCAGAAGTTGACTATGTTATCTTTACGAGTACACCCTAAAAATTTTACCAGGATGATGTCACTCTTCCGATTTAACAGTCAGTATGTGGAAGAATTCATTGATGAATTAATATCATGTTTTACTTTTTAACGTTCAAATGTGGTTAGAACCAGACATTTTAGGGACCATAAGCGCCATAACGGTCACTAATAAGAATGAAGCGGCGAGAGGCTGATACATCAGGTCCCACACATTAAAAATCTAATAATAATTTGAAAAAATCAATGCTGAGACAGATTTATCCTGACTCTCATCTCTGATACATGAGACATGTGTTACCCTCAAAACCATTGACCGTCAATCCATTTAGCGCTTATAACTGAACCCACTTTTGTCTACTTTGCAGAAGTGAGCGTACGCTGTCGTATTCTCTGAAAGTTCGCTAATGAACCACTTACTGTCAATTTGTATTAATTGGTTTGCAAAATTCTATGATGGGTTATATTCTAATTTTGTTCTGGGAAAAATTTCCCAATAAATTCATAATTTCATCTCTGCAAGAATGCTTACGATTATGCAAATTTTCAAGAAGCGTTTGTCTGAAGTTGCTGACACCTTTCTTTTGGAATTAATTCTTCAGATATTATAATTGATAAATCAATTGATAACCAATGTCATGATTATCAATACGGCTTCCACCGGCTACAGTATGTGGGCGAAAACCGAAAAAAACCATTAAGTAACAGCACATGCTTTGTCAGATAGGTTTAGCCGTCTGGTTGCTTTTATATTCCTATCACTTTTTTTAATGTGATAGAAAAATCGTCTTAATAATACAGCGCATATAAGCAACAGAAATTTGTAGTATTCATTTCTCTTGATTAAAGACAAACTTTTGAAAAACCAGGCAATTTTTTTTCATTAAGTGCTGACAATTCTTGTTACCTGCCCTATTATTAGTTGTGACTTTAAATCGGTCTTACGATATCCTTCTGAAGTACTGACAAACAATTTAATGTCATGACCTGACGTCAGACAATAGACGTCATCAATCTTAGAGATTATGAAACATGACGGCTACCAGTACTCTACTACTATATTTAATGTTCACAGAAAAAACTAAAAGCTCCATTCTGTTGATTACAGGAAACTGGATGAAAATGAAGTATTCATCAGAAATCATCCTGGACTCATCACTCAGTGTTATATGAATTGAGTTCAAGAGGTTTAAAGTCATTTACAATCCCCCAGTTGGTATTTCGAAATCGAAATAATGTGTGACCGTGTTTTTACACTGGCACCAAATGTCTCCCTAGAATACATTGTATGGAAAAATCTAATTCTATTGGTTCTTTCTATGGAAAAAACTTGCAGAAAAGCTGTAGAATTTTTCAACAGGATCTGTGAACTATTGACTATTAGACTTTTCTATTAGAATTTTCGAATAGAAATTAATAGAATGCACTAGATGTTTCTATTAATTGGTTTTACTAGGCCTGAACACCCCCCCCCCCCCCCCCNTTGAATTCATAGAGGTGTTTTTTGCATCCGGACGGAAGCATTGCAATCGTTCGATTTTCACATTTTCTAATTTTGCTTGGAAATAATGCAGAATGGTCTGAAACGTAAAAATACGAAGTTTGGGGACCATGTCTGTGCGTGACACTGTCCAGTCGGTGGTCATTTTTTCGTAAATTTGATAATTAAACGGGAAAAATCATTCCAAAAAGTTTGAAAGTTTTTCACTTAATTGGTATAACTTGAGACTAACTCCATGCCAAACTTCAGCTTGATCCGTCCATTAGTTTGTGAGCAATAACCATTCGTTTTTTAACCTTTTCCCGCAAATATCTCGGAAAATACCCAACCGATTTCAATAATTTTTTTTTCAAAATATTCGGCATGATGTCCTCTATCTAAATCAATCAAAACATATATACCCGTTCATACAAAATTTTTGAGATATTTTGAATTTTTCTGTTTTCGACTTGAAATCCTTGTTCGCGCTCTAACTTGAGTAACAATTCAGATATTGACTTGAAATTTGGCATGAAACTATCTCTTATCATCGGAAGGACCTGTATGGAAGATGGGCTCAATCGGTCAATTAGTTTCGGAGATATTCAAATTTGTATGTAAACCTAATGTCTTGAATATCTCAATAACGAGTCAACCGATCTCAATGATTCTTTTTTCAAAATATTCGACTTGATGTTCTCTATTGCAATCAATATAAATATATATACCCTTTGTATTTCATACAAAGTTTTTAAAATTCTAAGAGAATTAGAATTTAGAGAGAAAAAATTTCCGCTTCACCCAGCCGGGAATCGAACCCGGGTCTCCCAGATACGCGCCGGGCACTCTTACCGACTAAGCTACCGGGAACCACAGAAATTCACTCTCAAATAAAGAGATGCAGATTTTTCTGTTTTTGACTTGAAATCCTTGTTCGCGCTCTAACTTGAGTAAAAATCGAGATATTCGAGATATAAACGCATTCATTCGGAAGCCCGCAATCAATATATTGATGGCGAGAAAAGAATATACGCCCTACTCAGTAGCACATGTACAGCCGCATGGCTGCAGTCGCCTACTTGTTTATGAACGTGATCGGCCGCGCGTGCTACGCACGCGTCCTCTCACCTCCTCACGCAGTGGCACTTCGGTTTCAGTCTTACGCTTACGCTTATTCGATATTTTCGAGATATTTCGAGATCGATTTCCTTTTTTCTTTTTACGATAGGATCGTTCATCTTTTCTCCAGAGTATTAATACTATAGTACTAATCTATGAAGAAAAGATTCTTATAGATAAGAATCATGACGAAGCAAGTCTATCGAAATTTATTCATGAGTGACCGCTTTTAATATACTGAAAATTGTTTTTTTTTCACCACTGTGTCCACAATATCATACCAATTCTTACAACCTAAGATATTATCGAAATTAAATCACGAAGTCTGTTATTGTGTAATACACCCAATGGTGTATAATGATGGGATTACTGATGGAATGACGAAATCTCTTCTGATAAGCTTCTTCTCTTGTCCTCATGCATCTCCTCATGTGTCTAAGAAGATGCATACCTGATTCTCTAGAATAATCTGCGATTAATCCTCACTAGCCGAAGAAGAAAAAATTAAGAAACTTCACAAAGGAAAAAAAGCCTAACGATTTAGATTCCAGTCAGCTAATTGTATGAGTCTCCATCGAGGCGACCTCACACAAACTCAACTCTTTACAGACCTCGATTACCTTTACTTTCGTTAAGCGTGCAATGCCCCTCTTAGTACCCACAACCTCGCTGACTCGTCAAAACAAGGAGTCAAGACTCCAAACATCGTAGTCTGTCGGCTGTCGATGGAGTCCGCGAAACCTTTCGCATGGAAAGAATCACCGAGGATGTGACACTAAGACCATTTCAATCAAATTGGTTATAAATTTGTAAAAGAAATTAGTTGTAGCCTTTCTAGGAATTTCTAAAGCATCGGATAACTGAAATTGTATCTTTCCGTCGAACCGGTTGTTCTCGAAGGTCGTCGGAAGTGTTAGTAGTTAAGTTCGCCCGGGAGGTCCAACGAACATCATTATGCTGTAGACGTTCCTCCGTCGAGGTGATAAAGCGTTGATTTCCGCAGAACAATTGGAATAAAATTACAATTGTTTTAAAAAAAACATTTATTCAAGAATGAATTACTGGACGGTAATTGTGTTCTTCTTATGCAGTGGATATGTGCTAAGTGATGATAAAATTTATCAAGTGGGGTCCTCATCAAAGGGACGAGAACGATCGATCAAAGCCCTCGAGTATGTCGTGGACGATGAAGATAGTTTTCCGATTGCCTCGAGAGATGTAGCTCTTTTGGCAGCGACTATCGAGAGGATTGAAGGTGACACCTGTCGAGATCACGCCAGGATGATCATCGAGGGTATCCAGAACCTAACGACCTGGGCTGTCAAGTTCTATGATGCTTCTGCAAAGTTTCCAGAAGGCCTTCTCGCCGGCTCAACCTACGAGCTTGGTAATTTCGACGAGTGCATTCAGATAGGAGAGGGTGACAATGCACCTCCAGGTCTTGCTGGGATGTATTGTCTCGGGGATGTTGACATTGATGTTCCTAAAGACTACGTGAGGAAGACAAACACCATCTGGGAAAAATTTCAAAAACCCTCCCATAGGTATGATGAATCCATCAAACGAATGCACTGGGGCATCTGTGTTCCTGCCTCGTGCAACTCACGGGATGTGCAAGAGGTCGTCCAGAAGGTTCTCGATCTCGCTTCCAGTCGAACTCGGGTAACACTCAATCCGGTAGTTGATAGCAAACGGTGTTATAAACGAGAACCACTTCAAGTTGACACTGTTGATGTCATATATGTGTGAGTAATTTTTTTTTGACAGTGAGCTTGTAGCCTTTGGGCATATGCAATCATTAAATCACTTCTCTCGATGTGGTTGAACGGTTGTAAATCGATTCATTGATAAATTTTTTTGTAGAATTTCTAAAATTTTCTCAAGGTTTTCTATCGATATTGCATAGAAAGGTGTTTTTCATGGTTTTTCTATTACTCCAAATCATTGTAGAATTATTGTTATGCTTTGCTTTTGAAAAACCTAGTACATTCACTAGGCACGACGGTATTCTATTTAATTTCAGCTACAATTTGATTAAAGAAAAACAAAAAGGAAACTAAATGCAGTCAAAAAAATCAGAAAATTAGTCGTGAGAAATTTCTATATGAGCGAATCAATCTGTATATGAAAATATATCAATTCTGTATATGCAAAGTTACCTCCAAATTTTTAATTTTTTTTTCTTCTGTTTTTCTATTCTAATTGCAAGCCACTACACGCCAGAGAAAAAAATTGAAATCTTCGATTTTTTCGGAAAATTTCTCAACCTTTCGTTCTTCGCTCTTTTTTTTGTTTTCTCCATCATAAAGTTCGGAAAATTTTTCAACCAACACCTATTGTTATTATTGGTACTTTGAAGAATTCAGCGGTGAAATGAAGAAAAATAAAATTGATTGAAGCTTTCTTTCAATTTTCATTGTAATAATACCTCGCCGGCATTATTTGCACATACGATTCATATTTCCCTGTCTATTTGTTTAATAGTTATAATCAATTTGAATTTGTTTTGTTTGTAGTCTGGAAAGAAAATATTTTATGAAGGGACAGCAGCGTAAATAAGAAAAAAAATTACAGTATGCCACACTGATAGAACTTTTCACTTACCTAGTTCTATTAGTTCCACAAGTCCCCAAATAATTTTATAATTTCTAGCACTTCTGATTACATGAAAAATGAAAGTAATAAATTGATTTATACACAGGTTCAATAAAACGCATATTTGGAGTGAGCAAATCAGATATCGACAATATGGACGGACTCTACATGAGATATTTTTATCTCATTTTTGTTCAAATAATAGTTTCTTCAAGTTTCATGGTTGACCTCTAAAAAAATATACATTTTTTCTCGAAAAATTATTAGAAATAGATGACTGACGTTGCAATTAGTTGAAAACTTGGGAGAAATACACACCCTCGTATTTTTTTCAATCCTGAAATTTTGTGGAAAAAATGATTGGCAACTGAATCTGGAGATAATTTTTTTAATTAATATCGTTGAATTTACGGTAGCTGGAAAAAAAATCCTAAAAAACTTTTTATAAAAGACCTTTTTTTTAACAAAAAAGGTTTATTTAGAAAATTTTGCGATCTCCGTTTTTTATCACGATATTCAGTAGTACTGATCCAAAAGCTTCAAAACAATCGACAAATTCCCGGCATGTTTGATGACGAATTCCACAGGGAAATCCCTCGTGCCCGAGCTCATCATTTCTTAAGCTCTGAGATTTGATGGATTCGTTTCTATGCAGACAAGATGCCGGGAATTACCTGATTAATTTCAAAGAAGAATTGAAGAATTGAATTCGGAACGAAATTAATTTAAATCACTTATAGCTACTGAATCTCACGATGATTTTCCAGAATGTTAAAAGAAACATCTTTTTGATACATTTCAAATAGTTGAGAATGCAAATGTAATTATGGTGATTAATTTCTGCCTGACTCGAACCATGATAACCATGTAATAGCGGAGGGTAGGGCAAAACGGACCAGGCGGGTAAAATGGACCGCAGGGCAAAACGGACCACTGACAAAAAATTGGTAATTTTTGGATTTTTTTTAAATCCAAAAATTCAAAATCATTTGTGGTTTGAGGTGAATAGCAAATCTAATCAAATTGCGGTTCAACAACACTTCTTGTCTATAAAACCCCTGTGACGGGTATGCTCCTGAAACTCTTTTTAATTCAACACATTCAGTATTCCTGATTTGAAGAAAAGAAAAAAAAATACTAATTTTCTGTCAGTGGTCCGTTTTACCCTGTGGTCCGTTTTACCCTGTGGTCCGTTTTACCCTCCCCTCCCCTACCCCCGAATCTGCACATTCTAGATTATTGACACATTGATCATTGAGCTGTTTTACAAAATTCGGTAACAAAAAATTAATTTCGAGACTGGGTCAATTTGTTAGATATTTTGGATCGTTTAGCTGCTGGCCAAGGTCACTAGGACAATGACCTCCATTTATTTTTCGATGTTCTTTAATTTCTATTTCCGAATTCTTTTCCCTTTTATGAAAAATCAGACAAGCTGATGAAAAAATAATAGGGAAAATAGAGTAATCCTCTTTCATGATTGCATATCATTGGACGCATTTGTCCACGCATAAAAATATTTAATAAAAAAATCTAGCGAATTCGATAGATAATTCTATTGGATTCCTGTCGAAATTTTTATTAGTTTTTGGCTGATTCCATTGAAATATTCAATATAAAATATTCTATAGAAAAAGTGAATAGAATATTTTTTATTTTTTAGAATATTTTCTATAGAATCTCGGCGACTCAAATTTTCCAATTTTTTTTTATTCTACTTTCCTTTTCTTTTCACCAAGAACATCAAACAAAAAAACTTGGAAAATTTCAGTAAAGGTAGAAAATCTCTCCATGTAATCAATTCTATCGGAAAATCGAATTCTATTGACTTTTTCCTATAGGATATTTTCGATTTAATATTTCAATAGAATCACCCAAAAACTAATAGAAAGTTCAACAGAAATCCAATAGAAGTGTCAAGCGAATTCTCTAGGTTTTTCTATGAAAATTTTTCATATGAGTTCCTATAAAATGAATATAGCAATCGATGATTCGGAATAAAATTTCGTTGCCTTCTATAAAATGTTCAATAATTCAGTTGAAAAAGACCGAAGCACTTTTACTCAACATTCTTCGTCTGTCAAAAAATTATTGTTAAAGATGTTAGGACAAGGTCATTTGCTTCAAAAGTGAGAGTTGGATATTTTAAATTATTGTTAACAACTGTACTTAATATAGTTGTATTGCAATTTCTTCTAATGCAGGAAAATATTTTAATTTGCACATAGAATTATTTTCATTAATCAATTGCGAGAAAATCCCAATATTCTTAATGTGAACCGCATTCCATAAAAGCGCAAGATATCCTATAAAAACACATATTGCGTTCTAAAAAGAATCATTTGATTATTTCGTAAGCATTTTTTCTTAGCTATTCAAAATTTTATCGACGGATTCAAGAAGCAAACATCTCAAGCATCAACATTAATTTATCGCACCATTGAGTAATTTGAAAAACCCCAATAGTGTTTTCAATAATCATAAAATTGACTTTGTCACTTCGATTACAAATCATGTTTATTCATCATCATTAGTGAAAAAACCCACGGCACTCACATTAACAAAATTCCCCATCTCTTCTTGAATAATGTGCGAAAATTTTGCCGCTTCGATTCATGCAACTAATTAATTCTAATATCTTCTTTTTCTTTACAGTACAATCATCCTTGGAATCACTCTGATAATTGCAGTGGGAACATTATTCCACGCGATTCACCTGAAACGTGATGAAGAGACAAAAGGATTTCTTCCCCAAGTATTAGTCTCCTTCTCCCTAATCTCAAATATCAAAAAGTTATTCGGCCCAGCAAACGATGACGGATTGAACCTTGACTGTATATCCGGCATGAAATTCCTTGCCATGGGATTCATAGTTGCCGGACATTGCCTTGTATTCATTGTCGGTGGGCCTGTCTTAAATAGCAATTTTTGGACTGAAGCTGTGACCAAAGTAGAGAATTCTATATTTCTCAATAATCCACTTCTAGTTGACACGTTTTTATTACTCAGTGGTTTTTTATTTGCTCGAATTCTCCTGAAAGAATTGGACAAACGGAGATCCGTTAACTTTCTTTTTTTATACATTCTTCGTTACATCAGGTGAATCACCGTTGCGTAATTTTGATTATATCATTCAATGAGACGGGGAGAAAGTAGATGTAGAAGATTTTAATCGAATTCTTACTTAGATTGACACCGGCCTATTTGGTGATGCTTGGACTCTATGTGACATGGTTACCTAGATTGGATTCTGGACCACTTTGGTATAGGATGATTGAAGAGAAGGAAAGATGTCAAGCGTCCTGGTGGACTAATATTCTTTATGTTAATAATTATGTGAACACTAATCAGTTAGTAAGTCATTCATCGTTTTTTCTACCATATATATGATTCTCTTACAACAGTTTGCTGCTTATGCAATTTCTCCCAAATTGATTCCTTCGCGGAGTATTTATCACAAAACATAATTTGACAAGCATAACAATTATTCTGAACCGAGATTACAGTATTAACTCAAAGATGTGATATTATAGCTTCATTTTTGGAATTGGATTCCAGGAAATATTCCCTTACAATTTCTATCCGTAATTGAAACTTCAATATACAATTGGTATTTTAAAACAATGGAAAGCATTGAATCGAAATATGTCATGAAATTAATGTACTCCGTTGAATTATAGTGCTGAACCGAAACAGAGGAGTCTAATAATAGTCTACAGGGAAAATTTCATTGCAAACTTCTCATTAAAGATTTCTCATTGCAAATATACCAAGGATTTATTGTTTTTGAATTTCATAATCCTACGATAATTGATTTACTTTTAATTTAATTCCAGTGCATGTTCCAATCATGGTATTTATCAGTTGACACGCAGCTGTTCATTTTGGCACCGGCAATAATTTATCCTCTATGGAGGTGGAGAAAATCCGGTGAATTAATACTAGCTGGTGTTACTGCCCTCTCCATAGCTGTACCTTTCACCGTGACATTGGTCAATCGCCTAGACCCAACGCTCATGGCTTACAGAGAGTAAAGTCCAATGTTAAACAATTCAGTATCAAAGTGATAAAGAGTAACAAGTCGATTTACCTTCTAGTTGTGTTTTCGAGGGATCTTTTCCAATCTAAGAGCAATAGTAATTTTCTTTTAAGAGAATTTTTTGTAGCTCTCATTCAAATACGGAAAAATCACATGAAGAAGCCTAGCGCATCCACTAGAAAATTCTAATAGATTCCTATCCAAAATCCAATTAGATTTTAACTGAAGCTTATTGCTCTTCTACGCTTGTTTTCAGAAGAAATATGCGATGAAGAATATTGTGTAGAAAAATTCAATAGAATGCGATATGCTTCTACCACTAATTCCAATGAGGTTGTCTTCATAAAAATTGCTCGGCTCTAATTTTTCACGTTTACTTACTTCACGTTTTTAATAAGAGAAGAAGAGAATCAAGTGAGAATAATGTTAAAAATTTATGTCGATAAATTTCTATATAAACTATTCTAACCCATTGCTTCGCGTGAATCTTGAATCGTCTCTATGTGAGAGGAGTGGGGGGTCCGTCCGAATATTAGTGCGCCATAAGAGAAGAATGTTAGCGCACGCGCACCACCACAAAACGGCGAAAAGTGGGGTATCGTGAGATGAAGCAAAGGGTTAATCGATTAAGGATGTTTACCCAAAATCACAAATATTCAAAAAAAAAAATTTTTTTTTCAATTGAAACATGAAGTTATTCCCTTTATCTTGAAAAAAATTTCACTCCACAAATCCACGTTTATTATTTAGAAATGGAGTGGACAAAATGCACGAAACGCATGCGTTAACATGCGCTTATATGAGATAGAATCTCTCAAATATTTTCTCTTTTTACGCGGGTACCCCAAATTTTTTTCTGGCCATTCGATTCAGTATAGTTTTGCACATTGCCTTCTATTTTTATTTCTAGGTATTTTTAGAGTCTTATATTAGGCGAATTATAAATTTCAACATAAATCCCATACGAGCCCGTGTATAAGGAAATAGTATATTTCCCACCAATGGAGGGAAAATAAAGGAGACGTGCCCACGGGCAGAATTACCACCCGAGCCGAAGACGAGGGTTGTAAGCACGGGGGTAAGGGTCCTTTATTTTACTTCCCTAGGCTTACTTCCTTAGGCGGAAAGGCACATTTTCCTCTCGCGAAGCGGGAAAAATTTGTTCATTTATTTCTGGCAAGACTATTGCGATTAATTTTTTTTAACATCAAAGAAGTTAGTTTCATATGTTCTGCTATCAGCCAAAAAAAAAATATAGATTTTTTCTTGAACATGAAAAAATTAGATTTGCTGAAAATCGCAAAACATCCTTAAGCTGTATATAAAAATGAAAATTTTGATTATTTTCATAAAATAATTTCTATGGAAAATTTCGTACTAAACAATAGACAGCAATTTTTTCAATACTCTTCGTGCGTGTTCCACTCCACAAAAAAATGCTCAAAAAAATCGAGTTATGTCTGTTGAATTCAGAAATACTCCTCTGAACACAACTAGAGATAAGTCGACTGATTTATGCTTTGTCACTTGACTACAGACTTATCTATTACCTCATGCATTTTTCGAGAATCTCGATTTGAGCGATTTTTCGATTTTTTTTCTAGAGAAATTGAGGACATCTCTACCAATGACTTCTTTAGGAATAGCTACATCAAGACGCATATGAGAGCAAGTGCGTATTTCTTTGGACTCGTATATGGATACTTCTTATACAGAATTCAGGGTGCTGACTATAAACTCACCAAGGTGAATCGAATTGTGTTATTCTCGGTGATATAAATGAATTCCTGTGTCATTCAACTCAATTCAATTGATTTCAATTTTTTTTTCTGCAGACTTACGTAAGAATCGGTTGGACACTAGCGTCGTTATCATTAATCGCTTCGATGTTCTCGATCGGAATATTTTATGGGCCAAGAAAAGATTACGGAGCTGTAGATGCAGCTATCTACTCCGCGATGCATCGAGCACTCTGGAGTTTTGGCACCGGATGGGTCCTTATAGCTTGCATCACAGATAATTCTGGTTTGTAATTTCGTAGCGTTCATGATAGTTAACAAATCCTTGTGGATTTATACAAATTATTTTTTTCTTTTGGGTGCAATTCTAGGACCAATTAGGAATTTCTTGAAGTGGAGAGCATTCGTTCCACTCAGTCGATTGACTTACTCGGCGTATTTAGTGAATGGTCTTGTTGAATTGTACGGCATTTCTACTACAAGGACACCTCAGTATTTAGATAATTTAAGTTTGGTAAGTAGCTTATTTATTTGACTTCTTTGGAAATAAATGGATTTCCTTATGAGTCTATTGGTTTTTAAGACAATCTGACATCACATAAAGCCGAGAGAGATCTCAGCCATAAAAATTTCCAAAATTAGTTTCATTTGCCAAGTGAAGAAAAAAATGAAGGAATAACGTTTAAGGCCCAATTTTATTCTCATTCAAGTATTATCTCGTTTGTTATTTCCTTTTTTTGTCATCGAAAATGTTTTCAAATTACTATTTTGTCTTATACAAGAGTCCCCAATGATTGTAAGTGTACAATAAAATGTAGAAACTATTTAAAATTTCCAAAGAGCGTTTCTAATTTATATTAGGAAAAAAGTCATATTTATAATTTCCTCCCTATTGAACGTATTTTCTCAATATCAATCGAAATGGACTTTGAAAATGTTTTGCATTTTTTCCACTTCTTTTCATTATACACACATAATTTTGTGAGATTTGTGCATGATCTATACCCAAATAGTAGATTTAGAATATTTGAGATTATAAGAATAAAACGAGATTCTAGATAACGTTCGAAAGATGATTCCATTGGGACTTCATTGTAGAAGTCCATTAGTCTGGTATCAGTAGTTCAGTTCATCGATTAATTGAGTTGACAGCAAATTAAGGCAATCAACATTCCACCAACTTTCGTTTTTGTGTTAAATTTTTATTTCGCACGATTTATTTAAAGAATATTCAATAAAGTAAATCTAGATTTTAATTCTTCTATAAAATTTCACACACGTGAGTAGTTTTTGGAAAAATACCTCACTATGAATTATCCAAGGTTACTTCTTACATTCGTTAATGATGAGCGATATGCAAAACTATGAAGTCAAACGTTTGAGAAAAACATACCGACAAATCTCTATGGAGAAAATCTCAATAGAATAACTTCAATTTTTTTTAAATGATAATCCATTCGTCTAAATGGAATTTTCCCAATGAAATAATAATAAACATAATTCGCAATGAATTTTCAATGGAAATGAGTAAAGAACTGATCAAATTTTCAATTGAGTTTATTCCTACATGATAAAAATGTCTCGTCTTTTCAGGTTGCCAAAGTATTTTCCCACCTGATGTTAACCTTCCTCGGTGCCATTCTGCTCTCCACAATGTTTGAGTCTCCAATCTTGGGCTTAGAAAAAGTATTCCTACGACCAGTACTGAAAAACCTCGAAAAGTCTGACACCTCCAGTCGCAACAGCTCAGAAGAAACCACTATAAGTGACGCACAATAAACGAATTGTGAGGTTAGATAATTAAGAAAAACCCCTCAGTACAATTGTATAATTTATTAGGAAATAAAATGTTCACATTTTTTTTTCAAATTGCATTAACAGTACATTGAAGCATCTCAGGATGTTCCCAAGGCCCAGAGCCTGTTCTTCAATTAACATTAATCAAATATTGTCATCAAGTTCCCTCGTTCTCCTGTTCCCAGGCTTCAAATTCCCTTCGTTGCCTTCTGTATCTTTCGAACTGATCATCCTCACTTGGCCAATCCAACTGGAGTGATTCAGTGCCATTCGACCTCGTACTAACCCTACTGTAATCCTCTGGTTCATTCCTGGATTGTCTCGAAGACTCTACCTCTTCCTCCCCAATCTCCATCTCTATATCCTCACTAGACCCAGTGACACTCGATCCCGTGACACTGGATCGACTTCCCTCACTCCTTCCACTCCTCTGCCAATGGCCCGAGTCCACGTCTTCGACAATCAAATGAAAAGTCTGCTCAGTGGGTCCCGCACAAGTCGACTTATGTCCCTCACTATCATTAGCACTTTTAGAATCTTCATTTCCCCCTTGCTCAGCCTCTGGCTGTGGCCTGACTTCCTTGAACACGAAAGCAGAGGGTCCATCCTCCTCAGACCTTGACTTCTGCATCTGCCATGCCTTCTTGAAGGGATGCTCCTGCTCCTGCTCCACCAATTTCGGTCTCTCTGGTAACAAATACTCAGGATCTTCCTCACTAGCCTGACTCTTGATGATAGACTCTCGTTTGAATAGCTTACCAGTCGCCACAGGCGTCATCTCCCCCACCACCTCTCCTCTCTGCTCACAACCCTCATCCTCCACAGATATCTGCCTTAAGTCCATTAGTGTCTTCGTCTTAACATCACTCCTGAAAGAGAAATCAATCTCTGCCTTCTCCAAAGAATCCAAACTCCCTCGTCGCTCCGGAATCGGCTCATCTTCAAAGTCCCGAATGTATCGAGACTCTTCCTCCGTGTCTGTCGGCTCTTGTGAGGACGCAACGGACACCCGAGGGCCTTTGCTAACAGTCCAAGCATCCATTACTCTGGTGCCAGTTGGACCCTGCAAAAGCGCTATCTTTCCTTCCGCTGAGGATCTTCTGCTGACGTCTGTTGACTCATCCCGTTCGGTTTTTAATTCTTGGCGTTCCGTAGATGCCATTCGTTCTTTAAACTTTTGTCTTCTTATTCTGAGTTCTTGCTCCCAGTCTTCCTCGTCACTCACTTTTGGACGCTCCACTGGGCGTCTCGGACTCTTTCCACGGAGTTTTTTCGGTTCCTCTTCACTGCCTGAGGAGATCAGACGAACTGGGGTTCTTCGGAGTCGTGGAGATCGTCCTCGGATCTCTGGTTTTGGAGGTCTGGGGGGGACTGGAGATTCTGGCTCTCGGTAAAATCCTAGATCCGATAGTCTGGAGGTAGAGCGGTCTCGTCTGGGGCTTCTGCGGTCTTCGGGACGGTGGGAGATCTTCATGGAGGGATCTGGCGCCCTCGAGGATGATCTTCGCTCCCGTCTGGTGTCCTCTGCATGTCGGCTTGGAGTGGGTTCACGAACTCTTGTATCAGGATCGATGTGAAGAGTTCTCTGGATACTACTGCTTCTTCTTCTGTCGAGTGTCTCCTCTCGCTTCATTCCCCAAGGTCTGTAACCATCGTCGTCTCTTGAGTTTCGTCTTATGAAGACTCTTTGTTTCCCGTTTGGCTTGCGAGATCTGATCCAGTGAGAATCCTCTTCTTCGGAATAATCTGCCTCTATCTGCCCCATCTTCCAGGATGCATTTTCCTCATACTCTTGGGGCTCTGGAGTCTTCGATGGTTTTCTGGAGCCTGGCTTTAAGGTTTTGGGCTCCAATGGGGATTGAGACTTTGAAGATTGGGACACGTCTGTACTCTCCATCAAGACTTTCTTTATTTCTTGAGTCGGAATGTCCAAGAATAACGTTAGAATCACTGATATCGAGATTACTGTTAAAATTTCGAATGGATCCACCTGGAAGAGAAGGATTTATCTTGAGAATTGCCAATTGTGTTTCTAGTTGCGGAGTTATGGAGTGATTACGTGTGGAAATAAGATGAGAGATAGTGAGTTTATTCAGTCGTAAAGAATTCTGAAATTTCTGAGGATATGTCAGAATTCTGAAATGACTGACATTTTTTTCTGAGAATGAGGTAAACTCGATTAAATTCATGAATGTAATTCAGTAAGTATTGACGCCATCTTAAAATATTATCGAAATTAAAGCCTGAATTCGAGCCATTGGTCTTTCTATAACGTTTAGTATAACTCTATTGAAAAATACAATAAGTCTAGTTAAAACTCCAATATTTTGAATAAACATTCGACAAAAATATTACCGATGTTTTATTTCATTTTCTACTAGAGTTCTGGTGGAAAGTATAATTACTCTCTTCCCGTTGAAAAATGACCGGGGCCATAAGTATCTTACAAGAAGCGGACGGAGCGTGAAGTATCATATAGAGAAGTATCTTATACAACGCCTCGACAGTACATCATTTTCCAAGAGAATTGAATTGATTTCAGTCTTTCGGATTTACTTACGACTTTAAGAACGTGGAATTCAGATGAATATCTCGTTGTCGCCACGTTGTAGAAAAATACTGCAAATTGTGTGAGGTAAACAGAGTAGGATATTCTGGAGAACAGAACAAGCCAGTAGTTCGATAGGAATTTGTTGATGAAGCTACCATGATCGGTGAAACAAGCGAAGATGACCCAGCAGACGCCCAGTGCCCACGAGACTGGCCCTATCACTGCATAGTGGGCTGCTTCTTCAACATTGTAGACGTAGTCTCTCCTCGCCATTTTCCACGGGGAGAATAATGACCAGGCGGCCAAGAGAGCAGTTGTTATCCAACCAAAAATTACGAAAATCTGAAAATTCAGAGAAAAAAGTAATCAAACTTTTTGATTGTAGCGTTCATACACAAAAAAATTTAATTGAAAAACTTAGCGAATTCGCTAAACAATGCTATTGGACTTCTAGTGATTTTTGTATTAGTTTTTGGCCGATTGTATTGAAATATTCAATAGAAAATATTTTATAGAAAAAGTCAATGGAATTCGATTTTTCTATACAACTTATTCCATTGAGATATTTTCTACAGAATTTCCTCGACTGAAATTTTCTGTTCATTTCATTCTATTCTTTTTTTTTTCATCAAGAAAATCAAACAGAGAAACTTACTACTGTACTGTATTTTGTATTGGACTCCATTTATACGTATTATATTCAGTCGCCAAATCGGCAATTGTATTCAACTGGATCGTTTTACCATTTCTCTAGTAGATTAAAATACTACGAACTATAATAAAATTCCATAGAGTAATTCTAACCCCTGAGTTAGGATATTCAACCTAAAATTCTATTGTTATTCTATAGTATGATCTGATCTTGATTATCCTGTGAGGCTTACTCTCTAGAGATTTTTTATCTATTTTTTTTAATTTTTCCATTTCATTGGTTTTATCGAAGTAGTTCTCGATTTGAAACCCCTCCTCTAGCCTGCCTCCAGCTCAACGCTGCTTAGCTTGGATATCCGCCGCAGCAACACCTCACCCACCTAACCATTACAATCGTTGATTTTTTATCTATTTTTTTGTTATTTCATTCTACGCCAAAACTTGAAAAATTTCAATAAACATCACAAGAGACTAATTTGTGTATAAGAATTCAAATCTTGTGATTTTTTCGTATCGAGTATTTTTGATTGAAAAGAAACGGGCGGAACTACTACGTAATTCCCAAGGTGGCACGTCTTTTCAACTAGGCGACATTTCAACTACGACCTTTCAACTGAAATTTTCAACTACAACATATCAACAAGTTTTTGTGAAATTACTATATTTTTGGGAATTAGCTGAAATTTTTTTTATTTTCATTTTTTTTACTCTTTGCCTTTCAACAGACAACGTGATGCAAATCAATTTAATCACTGAACTAATAGATTAATGATTAATATCATCCAAAGATTCAATTTGTTTTTATATTAACAATTACAAGAGATCAATAATTTAGTATTAATAGTTGGTTTTTCAAAGGATTTCCCATGCTTTTTTTTCAAAGGCTGTTTTCCATTTTATATTGAGACGCATTGAGCGATTCTACGCAGATAGTTTTCAATATCGTCCAATGCATTTTTGCGATTAACGATTCTTTTGATTCTTGCGTCATGATCTCTGTAAGCCTTTCGTTTTTTGGAGGGGGCTGGCCACCATTGGTCTGCGTCCATGTGAGTCCCATTGCAGCCTGTTCGTCCTTAAGGGCTTCAATCAATCGACCTATAGCAATGTGGGATACGTGGAGACGTGTGTTGAAGGCACTATGCCAACCTGTTTTTGTTGGTTGCCGTCGTGTGTGGTTCATCATTTTTTATCGCTTCATAACAATTCCACATATCAATTTCGAGTTGGGGGGGGGGGTCTGTATCGACGTACTTTGGGTCTGATCCATGTTTCCATGGCTAAATCTGAGTAATTGAAATGTCATAATTAAAATGTGATAAGTTGAAAAAGTGTTAGTTGAATAGTCGGTAGTTGCAATGTCGTAGTTGAAATGTCGCCTAGTTGAAGAGACATGGATTCATTCCCAATAGAATGTTCCAGCAAATGCGCTAGGATTTTCTGTTGTACTTTATCATGCGAGGGTGATTATTCAATCTCTCCTTGTGAATTTTTTACCTTGTAAATCTTAATGTTCTTTCCAGTATACTGCAGAAGTACTCCAAGGCTAATCCCGAATAAATAAGGCGTAGCTCGATGAAGAGACACGGCGTAGGTCAAGTTTGCAGTCTTGTACAGATGTTTTGCGCTGCAAAAAAAACAGAATTGATCATCGTTATGAATGATCGTTTTCAGGACAATTCACGACGAACGATTCACATAAAAACTATTATGCAGAAAGAATTACTTACGTCATTCCATGGAAAATAACGAGGGAGAGATTATTGTTGGCGGTGGCGAAATAGCGGAGCGTAGCAGATACTTGGAGGAAGAAAAAAATTAGTAAAATTCCTATTATTGGTTTGACGAGAAGAAAAAACACGAGACCCGGTGATAGCAGGGAAAGCTGCATATCCAATGCCAGTTGATGCGTGTGGGTTGCACACTAAAAAGTAAAAAACATAATTTATGGATAATAAACTAAATGAGACGAGGAGTTAGCGAAACTGTGCCTCCAAAACACCTTGATCATTTTGGAATTATTTCTCTCACGGGCGAGAAATAATCCGTAGTAGTGATCCTCTCGGCTATGCAGAGGAAGGATAGTTTTATTCTTCAGGAATCTATCCCTCTATTTTTTAAAGGATTTTTGATATTACATAAAATTAGTGAGTTTGCACGCTCAGAAAAATTCAATAGATAAACTTAGCGAGTCCACGAGACAATTCTATTGGATTTGTATCGATTAATTGTTAAAAACTGAAATTTTTAAAAAACTGAAAAACTGAATTCTATTGAATTTTTCTATACAAATTATTCTATTGATATATTCTCTGTAGAATTTCCTGGGCTCAAATATTCCAAGTTTTTTAAATTCTACTTTTATATTTTTTCATAAAAAAAACCACACAATCAAACTTGGAAAATTTTAGCCGAGGAAATGCTGTAAAAAATATCTCAATGGCATAAATTGTGCAGAAAAATTGAATTCTATTGACTTTTTCTATAAAATATTTTTTATGGAATATTTCAACAGAATCGGCTAAAAATTAATGGAAAGTTCAATAAAATTGTCTAGCGAATTCGCTAGGTTTATCTATTTTTCGTGCATGTGGTTCAAAGGTTTCAATGATAGAGTGCTTAGCATCCTAAATTCCAGTCTTGAAATTCAGGATTTCTGTCTGATTTTCAGGCTCATACCACTGAAAATGAGTACAAACACTCCACTCCATTTTTACATTAGGAATGGATACCTAAGATTGAAACTTGTTTCTCCAGTCTTGAAATTCAGGATTTCTGTTTGATTTTCAGGCTCATACCACTGAAAATGAGTACAAATCACTTTAGTTTAGGATTCCTCACTCCACTCCATTTTTACATTAGGAATGGATATCTAAGATTGAAACTTGTTTCTCTCTGTATTACTTATCAGAAGACACCTTCGATCGGAATATTTTTTTAGCTTCCAGAAAATGTTCTTGACATTTCGTATCAAAATCAACACATTTTTGAGATAATTACAGAATTAATGAGGTATTGCTACGTAGGAACCTACCCATCATTCCGATACCAAATTCTTGACATTTTGTCTCAAAATCTTGTATTCCAGTGATAATTGCATAATTAATAGAGTTTTCACTTTAGACTTGAATAATTTTATAATTTTTTCACCAATTTCCTAGGTGAATATTTATTATACGTGTTCAAAAATTGCAATTGAGAATATTTTTCGCCAGATATTTTCACATAATCAAACAAGGAAAAAAGACTAATAAGAGATATTCAGAACTCCCAATCCAGAACGCGTAATTGTGTAAGCATATCAAAACCAATAATTTCTATTGGTGTTATTTGCACGTTTTTATGATTTCGTTTTCAATAACTTGTAAATAATGGAATTGATTTTTAGGGTGATGACATTTTCGAAATACGCTACTAGTGAAATCAGTTGCAGAATCGTCGAACGGCTCAATTACTACAGAAAAACTACGAAGCTTGAACCATTCGGATTTCTCGCTATTGAAATGTTATCAAATCGCCCTACTCACCATCTCTTCAAAAGGAAAAAAATTCTGGATGTAAAAAAAATTTGTCCATGAATTTTTTTTACACAAATCAGCATTTGGTGTTATGATATTATTCCACTGAGGACCAGATCCGGTATGCTCCATCACGTATGCATACCAAAAAATCACGACTACCAGTGACGGTGTCAATCTGGAAAAAGAAAATTAGAACTTAAAGAACTTAAAGAGAAAATTATTCCCAGTTTATGGATTGTATCCAGCCAAAATGTTTTGAAAGTTTGTTGCTGATTGCGTGCCGATTTTCAACGTTTTTATCCACCAATATCACGGGAAATTTGGGGAAACTTTCTGGTAATGTCCGGGACTTCTAGTTGACCAATATTATTCGCTAGTACTATTCCAAATTGAGTTAACGATAAAAATGCGCACTTTTACTTGAAGATTGGAAAGATTGGATAAAGTTGCGATGGGGTGAGCTTCTTAATGGGAATAGGTCCAATGAACACAGAGAAAATTAGTATGTTACATAGTAGAGGTTGCCATGTTACATAGGAAAGGTCACCATGCAACATGGTGAGGTATCCTACAACACATAATGAAACGTTTGGATATTTTGAATTAAATATTGATGAATGAACTAAATAAGAAAGACCTGAGAAATAAAGTTATGACTGAAACAAATAATCAAAACTGAGTATTAAGAACAGAATATTGAGAATTTGAAAACTCATAGCTCTAATCCGTATTTTCCCGAGAATAAGAACTTAGTGGCTTAAACGTATCGGTCAATTGCGAATTTCAAACTCAATTTCCAACGTATTCTAGGAATACTTTCTATGTTCATATGATTATTTTCTATGGACATGATACGCATTCCCATGGACATGGTAAGCTACTCCATATGGCCTTGTAGTTATTACCATGTCTAATATGCAATGCTCGTAAGAGACTGTGACGAGGCAACCTTTTTATTTTTTCATTATTTTTATACTCTTTATCTCCCCCAACTACACTGCCCCCTAATACTATATATTTGGCCACCGCTGGCTACCTTATCTTTCCCCCCACAACTACTCTAGTTCCCTCCCCACCTCACCCTTCCGTCCCCCTTGACCAGCAACGACGAGACCCCAGGATGGAGAACAGTTCCGGCCCTAGACTAAAAGTGGAACACCGGCACCCCAGGAAGAAACCCCGAAGAACGCCCCCTTCGCCTCAGGCACCCGGAAAGCGGATGACGATTCCGCTCCTGGCCCACCTCGATCTGCTCCCCTGCGAAGAAGACGTTGACGGGAAGGAAACTCACTCGTCTCACGACTGCCCTGAGTGACGCGTTATATTAGTTGTGCCCAGAAAAAGACCAGAACATAGAGTGTGTAAAGAGGATTGCCGATTGTGAAGAGGATTGTCGAAGGACTTCCGACCTTATCCCACGTCGAGGAGATAACCCAGGAGACCCTGAGGTGGAGAGGAGGCTCAAAGTTCCCTGGAGAGGACCCCGAGTCGAGAAGGCCCAGGTGTGAGTTACTCCGGACAGTTCCCCAGAATCGAGAGGGCCCGTAAGTACGAGCTATTTTCCCCGTTACCATTTCTGTAACCG